TTCAACGAGAATCTCAAGAGAGGCGTTTTAATTAATTCGTTGAAAAGTGACACGAGTGAAAACCGTAGTTCTTTATCACTGTAGGATCGATAATCGACGTTAAACCGCAAGAAGACGTTGGCCGTAAACTTGACGTCTAATGCTCTGATATTAGACAGGTCAAGCACCAAGTCTACGGCGAACGAGAAATGGCTGCTTCTTTTTTGCTGTCGGTAAGCATCGCGTCTTGTGCTTTAAGTCAGTGTATATCCCAAATGAAATGGAATCTCAGCACTCCATGCCATCCAGCGAAAGGGGAAGATCTATAACTCGGTACAGTCTACATTCTATAGCCCAGAAGGAGATCGGATACCCCATGAACAGTAGACACCGAAGAGACCTTATCCTAAACTTTAAAGTTAAAAAAACAAACTAAATAGAGTCCAAAAGCCTTGAACCCAGTTAATTACAGTTGTCTTGTCCTTAACCATTATTCTAAAGGAGCATTCGGCAGATTCGGTACCAACAGCCGTAGTTTTAAAGAATATCTATGGAGTCTCCGAAACAGTAAATAAATGTTTAATCATTCTCAATCAGTAATTTACACCAATCACTATACATCAGGGCAAACCATAATTGTTTGTTTATTTTCCCTTTTCTTTCGCACTAAATTGGCCCCCTCCTTCTTAATTTTATAGAATTTGTTATCGAGTTCCAAAACAGTAAGTATAAGCCAATCACTCTGGATCGATCGGTGCTTAACCCTCGTCACTACGAATCAGTGCAAAACTCAATCGCAGCTCTATTTTCTTACTTTCCTTGATCTTAATTTCCCACTAAGTACGCTTTTCTTCTTCTTAAAAAACGATTACGAATACTACGTTGTCTAAACCTCATGAGGTGTCCGACCTCCTTTTGAGTTACAGAACCTAAACACTGCTCTGTAGCTTGAGTATCCGTCACTAACTGGTCAGTTGCCTTGTTCTCGTCACCAGTCTTTTGTTAACCAAGTCAGATGCACAGCGACTGTAGCATTGTTGAAGATATGGCAAAAAGAAACCGATACATCCGTCATTAGGAAGCAAAGCTAGGAACTCATTCGGTGTGACGATTGTGCACAGTTGCTGAAGCGTTCCTGAAAAGGAAGGGAAAATAGCAAAGCACATTAAAAGCATACCAAAATTCTCCGTGGTATAAGCTAAAACGGAGTCTGCGTTGAGCAGAGAATGAATCAATAAATCAATGATATTTTCACTAGACTAATAATTGATCCTGTTTATAAATATTAGTAAGGCGAGCAAAATTATGCGTTTAACGCTGTTCACACGAGAACGAGATTTATCCCTTTACACACGTTATCTAGTCTGGTGACCATGTAGAAACTGTCCTGTTTCCAGACCTCTCTCTCACCAGTAAATTTGCGCGCAAAGCAGAGCGGGTAGGGTGAAAGTAGGTTCCTCTCTTATCTCTTCTAGCTTCCGTGGTCCCTTGCCAATGGTCACCAGTCAATAGCTTTTCATGCTCGCCTTTGTTCGTGACCAACGTGCGAAACGAAGGCAGGTGTATGAGGGTGTACGAGATTGCTTGCATCTTTCACACGTTCAGTGGACGAAGGCCCTACAAGCGTGACTTTGTGAACGCTAACAGACTGAAACAGACTTGCGCAGACAAAGCCTACAATCATGCGAGCTACAAGCTCCAGTTCCGTTGACTTTTCTAAGTTTTCAGACGATCGCTTACAAGACCTTTGAATTCATTTTTTGGCAAGCACGAGCAAATTAGCCGGAAACAACAGAGAATTCTCTCTTGCCGTAAATTGCGCATTACCACAAAATTAAATTAGTGAAAGAGCAGTAAATCTATTGTGGAACTAGTACCTCTAAGAACAGCAACAATGGACTCTTTCTTGAATTCAGAATCATCGCTGTTTGGTCCTTCTTTGCATAAGTCAAGTATCGTTTTCAGGAGATGAGACCACTGGAAAATAAACAGTATTCTGAAAATAGCTTCACGAACAACAAATACTTAACACTGCAAGTCAGGTTCAACTTTGAACGAAACGATTCAGGGAGAAAGCCGTGACGTTATCAAAAACATCACCACCACTCTCAGTTTCCCAGTCTTTCAGCGGAAAACAGGAGAAGAGAGAACGCCTATGGACTGAGGACTAGGGTTGGGTCTAGCGGGGCTATTTTTGGATCATGAGCTCTTGTGCGGAAACGTTACCAATAGAAACAAACTGTACCAACCTTCTCAACATCTTGATCGAAATAAGTGTCTGCATAAGGTAATATTATTTCAGGAAAATCCTCCAAAATGACAGCAACAGCCTGTGCCAGAAAAATAGTTGAAGTTAAGATTTATTCTACGTACCCACCGAGTCGCTATGTTCTTAATGTAAAAAGAGAATGTGTGGAGGTGACGTCATATTAGTCACTTCGCCTGAGACTGCACCACATAAAACGCATTCTAGGGGTAATAAGAAGCTTAAGCAAAGGCGGTTCTGAACGACACAAGTCAACCGGAAGTGATATGTTTGCATTTTTGGGCAGTGGCAATGGCCAGATTTTGGGGCAAATAGTCTCAATACTGCAGTAAAGACACTTAGCACCACAAGGCATATTAAAAGGGAAAATATTTCACTTCCGGTTGACGTATTTTGCTCTAGAACGCCTTTGCGTAAACTTACTATTTTATGATAAGCCTTTATCGCCATGGGCAGTTTTTGAGGCCATACTGGAGTTCTCCCCATTTGTGTCACTACACGCAATCAAGTGGCGTGGCTTTGAAACCCTTTCAGGAATACTTTCACATAGTAGTACTAATTTTTCTCAGTACTTAAAAATAAGATTGGGCGATTTTCTCTAGCTTTGATCTCCGATAATCTTGGCAGTNCAGGAAAATCCTCCAAAATGACAGCAACAGCCTGTGCCAGAAAAATAGTTGAAGTTAAGATTTATTCTACGTACCCACCGAGTCGCTATGTTCTTAATGTAAAAAGAGAATGTGTGGAGGTGACGTCATATTAGTCACTTCGCCTGAGACTGCACCACATAAAACGCATTCTAGGGGTAATAAGAAGCTTAAGCAAAGGCGGTTCTGAACGACACAAGTCAACCGGAAGTGATATGTTTGCATTTTTGGGCAGTGGCAATGGCCAGATTTTGGGGCAAATAGTCTCAATACTGCAGTAAAGACACTTAGCACCACAAGGCATATTAAAAGGGAAAATATTTCACTTCCGGTTGACGTATTTTGCTCTAGAACGCCTTTGCGTAAACTTACTATTTTATGATAAGCCTTTATCGCCATGGGCAGTTTTTGAGGCCATACTGGAGTTCTCCCCATTTGTGTCACTACACGCAATCAAGTGGCGTGGCTTTGAAACCCTTTCAGGAATACTTTCACATAGTAGAACTAATTTTTCTCAGTACTTAAAAATAAGATTGGGCGATTTTCTCTAGCTTTGATCTCCGATAATCTTGGCAGTTACAAGTAAAGAAGTCCTTCTTACCTCAGTATATCTGTTCACATGAGGAAGACAAAGAAGAAATATAGACGTCATGTCTTTCATCTTCTGATCCTCAATTCTTCTTAAAACAAAATCACATACGTCGCTGCTGACAAACTTGGAACAAAGAAGAGCCTGAGGACAAAAAAAATACTTCATCATGTTAGATAACTCTCGCTGGGATTAATCTTATTAGAGAGCTTTAGTTTCGAGGAGGAGGACGACAACGAAGGACGAAATTTAATACAAGTTTTCTCGCCGATTCTCTAAAAATAGACACCCCCAAAGCTTCATTGTACCTTTTTTAACCACAAAAGTTAGCACGCTTATTTCCGTGGAAGGGGATAAAGCCCTCTACCGATCGCTAAATTATAAAATTTCTAACATTTGATAACTTGTTTTCGCTACTACGACATTCTCGCTAAAAATCGTGGTAGGATGACGACGGCTACCTTATTTTCCCGCCAAAATGATGTTGGTTCGCGCGCGCAATACTTAGTATTGGGAAAAGTCGTCCTCGTCTTAGAATCAAAAGCTCTCTATTATACCCAAGTCACACGACGAATAACAAAACAAGTGTTATGTAGATAATTTTATGATCCCCAAATAACTTAATTAGGCACGAGAAACACCTTAGTTTGACTCCAGAGACTCCAGAGAAGGGGGTTGAAACTGTCATCACTTTTGGTAAATAAACATAGCAAGAAACCTGTCTACAATCCTGGAGAAAACTACTTGAGAAAATGTTTTCATTAATGCGCACTACCTAACGCAACAAAACTATTTCCAAATCAACGGCTTTTTTTAACCACAAAAGTTAGCACGCTTATTTCCGTGGAAGGGGATAAAGCCCTCTACCGATCGCTAAATTATAAAATTTCTAACATTTGATAATTTGATAAGAAAACCCCCTCCCCCAGTTCAAAGTTGCTTCCTACAAATGCTTTGGGATCCGGCTTTCTTTTGAAGACCCAACAACACTGCTTCCAGGGGGAGGGGGGAGGGGGGAGGGGGGAGGGAAGAATCGGTCGGCTACGAAGTTTAGAAGAAATGCCCCCCAAGTTTGCACTTTTCTCAACAGTTTTGTCTAAGATTGTAGCATTTTCTTAGTTTCTTTCCCTTTTTGTTTCTGTCTTCAAGTTGTTCAACATCTCAAACATAGAACGAGTCCAGTAACCTGTAGCTTGAGAAGATCCTCATTACAGCAACAGCAGCAACATTCATGTACGCGCATCGAAGTGTCTCCAGTGTACATGACTCCCGCTCCTCGCCGCGAGGGACCGGAAAACAATGAAGACCGAGACAACTGAGGAGAGCACTGGGGAGAACTTGGTTTGGAACACGGGCAGCCTGGGACTGAATGAGTCAATGAACCTGAAATTTCAGCAAAAATAATAAAAATTTTCAGGATTTTCTTTTGACCTCAGTTAAGGAAAAGTGGTCTTAGCCTATCTCATGGACAGAGNTCCTCGCCGCGAGGGACCGGAAAACAATGAAGACCGAGACAACTGAGGAGAGCACTGGGGAGAACTTGGTTTGGAACACGGGCAGCCTGGGACTGAATGAGTCAATGAACCTGAAATTTCAGCAAAAATAATAAAAATTTTCAGGATTTTCTTTTGACCTCAGTTAAGGAAAAGTGGTCTTAGCCTATCTCATGGACAGAGAAAAAACCCGCAAAACAAAATAGTCTGTGAAAATAGCCCACATTTTGCGAGACCACCCCTTGTTTCCCTGTGAATTGAAGTCTGAAGAACGACAACAAAAATTCCATACTGACACGTCATCAGTATGGAATTTCTGCGCTCGTTCCTTAGACATGATTTTGCGGGGAAACCAGTGGGGGCCTCGCAAAATATGGGCTGTTTTAACAGACTACAAAACAAAGTTTCTGCTCCAAGCTGCAGTTACGTCTTACCCTGAAAAGGTGACACCTTGTTTAGCCATAAGTGACGCGCACCAAAGTGACCTTCTCCTTTAGGCTAAAAAAAAGAAATTCAAGACGGCGTAAGTTATAAGTTGCCGTTTTATGTGACAAAGAACGAGTCCCTGTTACTTTGCAGTTTAAGGTAATGTGAAATGCTTAATACAAGAGAAGAAGAGAAGATCAAAAGAGACACACACTACTATCAAATAAGTATAAACCAAGATCACTCAAGTCATTAATACACTGCAGGAACCGATTAGTACGTTGTACACTGTAAATAGCAAAGAACAAAAGCGAGCATGGATAAGAAAAGAAGAATAGAGTGAACAGGATACTGTGAGGAGCCAAGGAGAGAGAATACGCCATCCCAAAGAATGGTGTTTTTGGTTGTCGTTGCTGTTGATGGGTCGTCACTTGTTTCCATCCGCCAAACTGACATTTTCCTCTCAGTGGCTCTCACAAGACATTTCACTTTTCTTACATGAAATTTCTCTGTCTCTTGAAATTTCTGTTCATAAAAGTCCAAGTCTCTTCAATTTTTAAGGAAAAAAAAATTCAGGAAAGTACGAGTAGGATTCGATCTCGGAGCATCGGCCGCTCAGTGCATCATTGTAACCCCTAAACCACCAAAGATTTGCTAACAATGATTGGTTTGATTTGAATATTTATAGCAACAACCCTAACCCTAACCCTAATCTAAACCTAACCCTAACCCTTACTTTGTGTACGAATCATTGATCTGTCAACGTCAGTTTGGCGGATGGAAATAAATGTTGACCTTGTTGATGATGACGATGATGATGATGATGATGATGATGATGACGATGACGATGACGATGACGATGACGATAATGATGATGATGATAATGACGATGATGATGACGATGAAAATGACGATGATGATGATGATGATGTTGACGATGATGACGACAAAGGCAATAATAATTACGTGTAGAAAAAATACACTAAAGAACTGTCAAAACTAAAAACTGACCACATGTTGATGTGATGAGGTGGACTGGCGCTTTCTTCTGTGGCTCCTGATTCTCTCTAGATATACACTACATAATGGAATCTATAAAGAATGAAAAACCCAAGGTTAAGCGGCAACCGACGGACGAACGTACCTATTCTATATTTCTTATTGTGGCTGGCTAAAATATTGTGCCATTAACTCAACCAATCCGAAGTAACTGAGACCATTCGCAACTTGTTGATACGCATAAGTGGGTTGAGTATGATCGTCCGGGTGAACGTAGTCCTGAATAGGACTGTTGTTGTTTTCAGTGACTGACGTTTTGACAACCTGTGCGGTAGTCACCTTGAGAGTCAAAGTGAATTGTATCACCTCAGTTGATGGTATTAAACTCTGGTTATTGACCTGTTTGGTCAATTACTTCGCGATGTTATTGATCGTCTGCCAGTAAAGCCGTGATGTTATTGCTGTGAAGACTCGTAAGGTCATTGGTGCGTTTCGATCAGACTATTGTCACAGTTAAACAGTAGTTCATTGTTAGTCTAGTCAAATTGTCAGTTGTCCAGTGGATCTCTCGTAGTTAGTTTTACTTGATTCCAACAATAAGTCGTTTGTACGACGCCAGTAGCTGTTGACTACAATTCAGTGGTGTTTGTTGATACACGTTGCATACTCTTGTACTCGCTATAACAGTCAAAAGCTTACCCAGGTGTGGTCGTGGTTAGCACCGGCTACATGTAATTCCGTCCTGATAGATTCAGTTAGTGTAATTCAATTTCTGCGACTATTGTGATTGGTTTCGTTGAGAATTTGCGTCTACCGTGATCGGTTCAATTGACTGTCTGCGTATTGTGATTGGTTCAAAAGTCTAGGTTTGGTTTTGGTCTAACAACACTGGGAATCATTCTAAATTAGCCAAACGATAAAACTCAGTTGAGCGGCAGACTGCTTCCTGGGGGGATAATGGCTTCTTTAAATAGGTTTAGTTGACGTAAAAACACATGTCCTAAGGATGAAAAAACTTAATTACCACAGTTGCAGCAAACGAGTCACCTCTGCCTTTATCTGAAACAAAAAATAACGTAAAAAAAACTCAAATACGTTTATTTCTATGAACAACCAAACTCAGTTGGGTGAAACAATCCTTTCCTCTAAACAGTGTAAATGGATGATAATTTATACGTTCTTTTAATTACACACAAACCATTAAGCACAGCTTCCATAAATCCAATGGCAAGTTCATTCTGATGAGCATCTGGTCTACTAGCCTGGAAGGTAAGAGCATAAATAAAATAAGACTGGTCGCACTTCATAGATGATCAACACATAGATCAGTTTTACAACCAACCTGCGGCAAGATACGCTTTTCTTTACAAGTGAATAAATTCATCCGAGGCATTGGAGTAATTAATCTTCTCCCCGATAGCTCAATAGATGACCAACACACAGATCAGTTTTATAGCCAAACTGCAGCAAGATACGCTAATTTCTTTACAATAAATAAATTCAACCGAGGCATTGGAGTAATTAATCGTCTCTCCCATAGCTCAATAGACCCTTTCACGGCTTTTTTCAACTTTTGACATGAACCAGTTAGGGAAAATCCGCCGACACCAATGGAAAGAGCGCCTTGAAATTAGTAAAATTGCTAAGTTTGAAAGTGATACGTTTTAAGTGAGCGAAGATATAACTCTTCAAAGTTTCGAAAATTTACAGACAATACGGTAGGCGGCAAGTTCGTGCCCCCCACCAAACAAACGTCTGTTTTTAACTAGTCACTTTCAAACTTGGCAAATTTTCTCATTTAAAGGCGCTCTTTCTAGCAGAGTTGACGAATTTTCCCTAAATTATCCATGTTAAAAGTCGAAAAAACCGTGAAAGGGTCGTTACTCTTTTTCCTTCCATACTGAATTTCCAAAAATTGCCCTCTGTGCAAGTGGGAATTGGCTTCCGGTTTTTATATTTCGCGCGTTTTTGGACTTCAGGCTGAGCAGGTCGCGGAATACATTTTTGTGCCTCGACTGGGAAACACACCAAAGGCATTTTTGGATGAAAAACTTTAATCTCAAAGCAATTATGCAGGTTAGAATTTTTACTGTAATACAAACTTTTAGGTCTATTGATGAAATACTTATGTGCTAAGCAGGACCTTCCGCTAAAAATGTTTGGCAAAGTGGATCTGTCTTATTAATCGGTAGAGTAAAGCCTTAAAGTATGCCATACTTTAACCATTCAGACGAAATCTGTGCATCAAGTTATTTCACATGGTATTATTTTTCCAGATTAAAAAAAAAAAGATTTGCAGTTTAAGGGTTAGTTTGCATCAAAGTTTTGATCTTACCCCTAGCAAGGTTAGAAGAGTGTCCAGCGACAGGATGTATTTGTCATGAAGCTGAAGAAGACCTTGCAAGAAAACCGCCGGTTGATGCTTTCTTAAAAGCTGAAAAAAGCAACAACGTTTAATAAACAACAAAAACGATTATTACCCTTTGCGGTTGAAGAAATTACTGATATGAGAAGAGGGTTGTGGAAAAAAGGGGAGGGTTTTCCCGCGCGTCAAGTGCAACGACTCTGAAGGCTCTTTCAATGGTCGTTGTGCTCATTTTTGTCAGTTTCGTTAATTGTGATCTTTGTTTGCTCCTTTTGATAGTTTTGTATTATTGTCGTTCTGGTCGTTTTGTTCGTCTTTTGGTCATTTTTTTTGGTCGTTTGTAATCTTTTTGGCCGTTTTTGTGTTGCTTGGGTTGGTCACCAATGACCGTCATTTTTGGATTTTCGTAGTTTTTTTGCTACCTGTTAAAAAGTCCCTAATTACCGCAGCGACAAATCCCTCCAAGTTTCCCTTTGTCTTTTCTCGCTAGTCATGGCCAGGAACACAAGATTTAAGGCAATAGTCACACTCCAGCTCATGTTAAAAATTAACCATCATTTGACGTTCCCAATACTTTAAAGCGGACACATGATGATTGAAATAATACTACACACCTGTGCCAGCGGTGTAAAATGAGTTCCATCCTCGTGTAACAGGTAATAATGTGTAGTCAGGACTTCCACAAGCTTTTTCTGCATGAAAAAAATGTCATGACTTATTAACTGCAAGCAGTTTTGTAGAGCCCCAAGAACTAGACGGCAAAATCTTACATAATCACACACGGGTAGTTAAATACAGGTTTTTTAAGGGAAAGTGTCAAACCAACGCGAAAAAAACTTTTTTAACAGCCAAACGCCAGAAAAATGTCGCATGATTTTCGCCACAGCCGCGTCCTCAATCCCCCGCTCGATTCGCCTCTTTCATCGCGCTCGCTCCGTTGTTCGCTCTTTTTCCCACGAAAGCACCTGGTGACAAGCTAAATGCTACAGCTGAACCATTTTAATGAACTGCTCACGAGAACTTTGACTGTACTTGGATCTGTTAAAAAAAAGAAATTAGAGCAAAATATTACAGGTACCTTAGGGATGGAAAACAGGGCTGCCTGCGCGTGATCAGGTTCACATTGATGAAGATATAAAACTGCTCGCACAAGGTTATCCAGTGGAGAAAGGCTAAAACAAAATAGCTCAAATCAAAATCTGTTTCCAAAGAAATGGAACACATAAATAGACAAATAACCAACTAAACAACATTCACTAACCTGTACACACCTCCATCAGCGAATTTCGCCTTCTTCAGATCTTCCAGCGCAGATAATGCGGTGTCTTAACAGAAACAAAACGTTAACAACAGAGAAGAATCATTGAAATGCTATCAAAAGTTAGAAATTGAAAAGCGTTCTTTAGTTCCGAGCTGGACAGATCTGGCCTGGACGTATTTCCGGTCTTCGAGAAGTGACGACCGGAAATAGGTCTGCGTTCGTATAGCTGGACTTATCGAACCATACCTGAGGAAAAGCCACTAAGAGATGACACTAGAATTATCTCTGCAACACGTTCAGGTTTCCCTTTTGAATACAACTTGAAGATTTTCTTGGCTGTATTCTGAAAAAAGAATGAAAGAAGTCTAAGAGATTTCTTTAAACAGCTGTAACCCATAACTTTGTTGCTCCTAAAAAATATTACGCAAGACCAATTAGCCCTTTTCTGGGCACCCAGTACTAGAGGGTCACCAAGAGGAGAAGTGTGACGTCACGTTACCATGGTAGCAAAATTTCTGGATCTGGGATCTGTGATCCAGAAATTTTGCTACCATGACAACGTGACGTAACTACTCCTCTTCTTTAAAGTTCTGCAGTGCCGCCGAAATTTCATTACGTCTGCATGTCAAATCTTTTGCTTTGTAGCAAAATCATTCGTAAACCTCAGATACATGTAAAACTCGGCATCTTACCTCAGATACAGGAACAGGTTCATCGAACCCCAGCAGTTTTTCATCCAGGAAGTGGATTAAACCCTCAGCCACAGTCGTCTGGCCAGACTTATGGTACGCCCTGTTGACAATGTCTCGCAGCGAGAGGCCAGTCATGTTGAAGTAATCTGCACTATCTTGGTAGACACTGGGTATCCTGAAAACAAAAACAAAAACTTTCGGGCATTAAAGGTGCATGTCATGTTGGGACTGACACACACTGCCAAATGTTATCCATTTTTAAAAGACTGTCTAATGCTTCATACATGTATACAGCTGTAGCAAGATTAGCTATGGGTGGATTTAATGTTTAAGTTTTAGGTAAGAATTAAATTTTTACCTTTGGTTGATTCTCAATTTTCTTCGTCTCCTAGCCTAACCTGTGTACCAGAGGTTTCTTTCTCTAGTGCGGCTGGATTCTGCTGACAGATCTTTGGTCAAAGGATGAAGCAATGAGTGTCGAGGCCAGGCGAAATGCTTTAGCACTGGTCACTACACAGACTTGACCAAAACCAGACACCATGCATGAAAAGTCTCTGGCACCCATGGGTACTCCTAGCTCTAATTTATCAATAGTTGGGGTTCAGAGACAAAGGAAATTGAAAATCAACCAGGGTTAAAACATTTTAACCTGAATTTAATTTTGAACTACAGTATAACATTTACACTTACCTTGCATATAAATCGGCCAGATTTGCAGCAGACTCACAGAGCAATTTCTGCACTTTCTTTGTCTTTTTGTCCTCTTGGCCCGTCACACTAGCCAAACAAAGGTTTCTTAGAAACATGTGCTGCTCACAAACAAGATGTTGGTATGCCTGTGCATTGTGCTTCTGACATCGACTTGCTAATGGCATCTGTAAAATGTGAAAAGTATCATCAACATCATTTCACCCCATACAAGGTAATCTAAGGCAGTCCTACACTGTGGATTCCAGAATCTAGGTACTACATTCCAGATTCCTTCTAATGCAGGACTCCAGATTCCTCGAGTTAATGTAGATTACAGATTTGAAAGCCCAAAATTTCGTATTCCACAAGCAAAAATTTCCCTGATTCCAGAATCCGGATAACCTCACAAGGGGCAAGTCATTTGTTTCCACATGTAATGTGGACAAAACATCGAAACATCTTCAAGCACACCACATACCACAGCTTTGTAAAGTTGGGTTGATTCCATGTTCTGCAAAACATATACTGTCCAGTCTGGTTTACTGCTGTCTCCTTGTTCCTGTTGAGGCTTTGGTGGTCTATTTCTAAAACTTGAAAATTCAAGAAACAGGAGAGTAAGGCAAAAAGTGTTAACATTTTCAGTCTGTGAGCAAACGCTTTATTTCTGGTGAAAGAACAGAGCCACAAGAGAACACATGAGGGCAAACTATTCCTTTTCTTTTCCTGCCCTTTTCTGTGCCACTCAAGCATGACTTCTCACAACTTCCCCAGATGCAGAGCTTGCTTGCAGGCTTTAACATCTTGAGCTCTTATACTAACAGGGTTGTATTCTTCATGCTATTTTATATGAAATCCTCTGCACCATGTCTCCTATTTTTTGAATTAACTTGTCCAGGGCTCAAAAAATACATCCCGTCAAGGCACTGGGACAAGTGGATTTTCTTGCTGGGCAAGTAACTTTTACAGCTTACTTGAAACCCAATGAGCAAGGGTCCCGGCAAGTTCTCAGTAACTAGCTTAGACAAGCAAGAAGTGGCCCCGAGCAAGCAAAATGAGAGAGCTGCTTGCCCAAAGGACAAGCTGGAATTCAAGCTCTTGTAGAACCTTATTGTCCTAAAAAAACATGTTTTACCACTTATCACCTTTTGCTTCTTTGCAAGGCATCGTGTGAAGCTCTTGTCAACAGCACAACACGTTCTCCAGTAGCCAACACATACTGAGATCCAGCAAATGGGTACATGCCAATCAAACAGATGTCAAGAGATGATGGAGGGCATCGCTGTAGAAAAAATTATAAAACAGACGAGCTTAATCAGAAGAATCCCCCTGCAAAACCCTCATAAAGACCCTTCTGAAAGTTCAGAACAAAAGTTGTTCTCCCTCTGTTCACCTCGATTAAAATACAGGTAATTCTAGTCCTTATTTCAGTGTGGATTGTAAAAATTGAATGTGTGAACTCAAACCAATCCTTGACAATACTATTAACATGAACAGATGGACCATGCAGCAATGATGAAGAGAAAATGGTAAAATAAGAGACTTGCCAAGACATCAAGACCTTTGTTTAAAAATCTTAGACATTGATAGCAAACGTAAAAGGCTCAGAGGCAGAAATATGGTCACAAGAAAGATACTATGAGTCTCATCACAAATGCACCAAGATCATGGGGTCAAATTGTCAATTCACAAAACCTAGAGGAAAATTGAAGGGAGCCCCCTGCTCTGAACATATGAAATCCAGGGTGCCCAGCATAGCATTTTTCTATAAAAAAAGCTTAAGATTTCCTAGTCACCCAAGAGCAAAAGTAAAGTACCAGGGGCCCTGGAGACTGCTAGAGTGCAGCCCTGTATCCAAACACTACATATTAACCTACCTTTCGCAAACTCTCTAGATCAAAAACTGGCAAAGTCCATCCACTATCATTGGTAAGTTTATTTATAGCAGCAAAATAAGCTGTTTCACTCAGTTTAGTACCAGAACTACCGCTGAGACCCAAGCTCGCTGAAGCAAATGTTCTTGTGCTCTGAACTGTCTCATTCTCTGTACTACTTTCACTGTCATTTTGACCCTCTTTCATTGCTAAAGCAGGCGATGGGGTCCTGCTTCTTGAAGTGAATCTAACAAGCGTTCTTCCTGAGTTGTCAACAGTAAGTGTGACATCTGAAGGCGATGGTTCACATTCACTATTGCTTGGCAACATCTCTCTAGAAATTTCTGTTCCAGGTGGTTTTGAGTTGTTACAAGAAGTTGAATCTACAGACTCAAAGTCTGAAACATTAGAGTCACTTTCTGATAAGGGTAGATCATCATTAACAGTGCTTGTGGCAGTTTTTTCATTTTCCTCTAGCTCAACACGTTCACCTGTCTTGCATGATAGACTTGTTGGTTCAACACTTTTCGGGAAGACAGCGACAAAGCTGGCGTTTGAGTGACTTGCTGATGAGGGTAGATCATCAGTTACAATGTTTGTGGCAGTACTTTGAGGTTCCTCTTGCTCAACATGTCCATTTGTCTTGCAAACTACACTTGTTTCTTCAACCCTTTTGGAGGAGATGGCAACAGAGCTGATGTTTGAGTCACTCGCTGATAAGGGTAGATCATTATTTAAAATGTCTGCGGCAGTATTTTGTTCTTCCTCTTGGTCAATATGTCCATTTGTTTTGCAAACTACACATCTTGTTGGTTCAACAATTTTGGAGGAGACTGCAACAGAGCTGGTGTTTGAGTCACTTGCTGAAGAGGATAGATCAGTTACGCTGATGGCAGCAGTATTCTGAGGTTCCTCTTGGTCTACATGTCCATTTGTCTTACACACCACTCTTGTTGATTCAACACTTTTTGGGAAAACAGCAACAGAGCTGGTGTTTAATGTAGTCTCATCACAGCTACCCACTAAAAACTCCACATCACTTTTACCTCGCAAGTCTTGACAGTTTTCTTCAATCCTTTTCATCATGTTAACTGTGACTTCCAACTGCTCTACAGAGCTGTGCCGTTGATCAAGTTTAACGTCAACAACTACATTTCCTCTAACCCAATCAGAAGCCGCAGCATACATCCTCACAGTGTACGTCTCAATTCCCTGTCGGGTTATTGCATGTAGCAGACCACTGCACGTTGACACACTGATTGTATCGCATGTATACTTGTAATAAGAGAGCAGCTTACAGGAGCCAAAAACATCATACAGAAATCCTTCTTTAGGTCCTGAGATGAGGCAACACATCCCACACAGTGTGGGATCTGAAGGACTTTTTGATACCAGTGGAGATTTCTGCATTTCCTTTATATGAGGAACCCCTGAAAAATAATATTAAAATACAAACTTTAGCTTCGCCATTCTAAGAGTCTCATGCATTTTGTCAAGGTGCATCATCAAACACATACAGCTGTATCGTACTGAATTGCAGATTTTTAAATAACATATAAAAAATGTAGTAAGTAGTACTAGTACTCCTGGGAATTCTTGGTGGGGGTGTGCCACCTGGTTCTCCAAATCATGACCCTATTTCAGTCCCAAAAATGTCATTTTTCACACCTGTTTTCAGACCTGGCCTCTAACCTCCATACAAATTTCGGACCTGGGCTCTAAGAAATTGTTGTCATTACTTAGTAATACATGTAAATTAAAATGCCAACAAAATAGATTTCTTGAAACCAATTTTGAATTTGCATATTTCTCTTTCTTTCTTATTCATTTGAAATTTAAACGGTATCATGATGATACATACACTCTTGTAGTTCTGTCATAGTTCAAGGAACAGTGCAAGGAGGGAGAAGAAGGGGCCAACAAAGGAGGCATTGGGAGAATAATGTCTCTGAGTGGACAGGGTTGAAGTTTTGCAATGCCCTAAGAGAAGCTGAAAACAAAATCAAATGGAGGGAAAGGGTTGTTATGTCCATGGCGCCCCAATGGTCACCATGACTACAGGATAGGTGTAGGTGCAGTTCCCTCGAAAACCATACCCAATTCCAGAACAAAAGGGGCAAAGTCTATGCTCGTTATCAGACCAAAAGGGTGCAAAAACCCTACCCTTTAAACTGGCACATGTCCATTGGCTTATATAAGGGAGTACCCCTTCCCCCCGGGGGGAATCATGTCATAAGGAGTTGATAGGACTGTTGATGACACTGACTGATATTGGGACAACCTGTGCAAAAGTCAGTCATTGTCACTCAAAGCCACTTCTGATTTGTCAGCAGATGGTATTTGACTCTGCTCATTCAGAGTTTAATACCACTGACATAACACCTGCACAGGTTGTCAAAATGTTAACTCACTGTCATCAACAGTCCCGCTCAGGTCTACACTAACCCAGACAATGACATCTTACTCTCTTAGAAGTTTCAAAGAAGTAGCATAAGTGTACAAAAGAGAAAAATGGTGAGGGATTTTCTTTGGAGAGTTGACCTCCATTGAAAGCCCTGCCAAAGTACAAAAAGACAAAACTCACCTTGTGTATACGTTGGTAGAAGCTGCAAGGTGTGAAGAGTTGCTGCATCATTGCCATCATTGCTTAGCTGCTCAGCTCTGAAGCGTCGATACAGCATGGTTACTCCTTTCACCTTTAACATGGGTCTATCCACAGCAATACCAATACCAAAGAGTCCACCAAATACCACAGTCACAGGGTGTCCAGGTACATCTGAAACTGGCCCCAGTACTTCTTTACATTCTGGTAAGCAGTCTTTAAACACCTTTTCCTTTCTTATGGTTGGAAACATAAAATCCTGATCTGGTGACTTCACAGAGGGTTGTTTAGATGAAAGGGATAATAGTGAACAATCATCAAAAGACCACAACGTACAGTTGTCATCATTAGTTTGATTATAGTCCTGGGTTTGATCTACATGCCCAGATGTTGTTGCCCTGTCAACAAGGAAATAGTTCAATCCATAAATTATAATGATCTACAGTCAATTCCCTCTTACTGGCAGGCCGCTAAAAGAACACCTCCTCAAAATAGACTCCTGCTGGTTTGATCCCTACCATTTTCCAGTTTTCCCAGTCAAAGCATTATGATCCATTAGGACTGTAGCCTCTAGTAGTAAACAACCTCTTATAATCAACTACCATTTTTGACACTTTTAGTGGTGACTTACTGGAGGTTCAAATTTACATGTAAATTAAAAGGTTGTAGGAGGTGTAGCATGCAAGGCTTATTAGGTGCAGGGTTTTTTAGTGCTACCTCTTCATCGAGAGGGTGGGGTGGGAGAGAGAATTTTTATTTCATGGCTCAAACAACTAGTCACCTGATCTCAAGATAGGCAGCTTGTTGAAAGCAAAAGTGTGTGTCAAGGTGGGGAGGGGAGCAGGAAGGTGACAGACTGCTGTTTTAAGGCATACCTATTTTGCAAAGTTGCACTGTGGCTGGACAGCTTTCCTCTTCCACTTGGGGGAATGGACTCTCGCTCCAACATGAAAACCAACTTGAGGACTTGCACATCTAAATTTGATCTTAGGGCTAAATATGAATCGCTCAATGCCAGGCCTTTTATAGACATACTTGGCTCAATATCTAAGAAGTGTTCTAGGTCACGTGATAATGTACCAGTATTGGATCCGTCAGATTGCGGATATCTGTTCCACCTAAACAAGCTGACCCTGGTCTCACCAGCAATAGCAACATTACCGCTTGTAGGACAACAACAAATATCACTAACATTAAATTGAGTTGGGATTTCTAGGGCAAGAAATGCCTTTGCAGCTTCCTCAGCCTCCTGGCTTTGCTTTAGAGAATGCCCTGCCACATACGTGCGTACGGGTTCTTCTAGATTAGCTTTGAACCAGTTGAAGTACGCTCGGGAATGAGTCGACGCACTTCGACGTGATCTTCGTCTCTCCGTTTTCTTTTCGATAGTCACAACGCATTTTGCTCTCTCGTTGCAGATCAAATTGACAGGTTTAGAAATGGTAGGAAACTGGCAAAACAGAGGGAAATTCGGCAGCTCGAGCGAGTAAACCAGCACTTTCATTTCTCCCGTTGCAAGAAACAGATAGTCTTTTGTAGAAGTGATGGATGTTGGTTGGAAGGAATCGAAGAAAACTCTTTGAGATTTAAAGTAGTGAAACAAAAGAACTCGCACCATTTTGATAAGGTGGAACAACAATCAGAATTGAACAATTTAACTTCTCAACTTTGTAACGCGAGTACAATTTCCTGTCATTCAGTCCGCCATCTTTGCAATGAAATAATCGAGAGGAAACTGGAACTAGTTTCATAGTACGGGTCGGGTGGGTGAGGCAGGGATGATGAATTCCTCACAAAATGTTGCAAATTTTTATCATTATTTTCTTGTGGTACTTGTAACTTTCTATAAAATAAAACATTTTACTTAATGTTAATATAACGTTGTTTTTGCTGAATTTTTGCGCTAAAATGTAGTTTAGTCTACCGGTCCTTGCCTTTCCCTCCCGTCCCTAAATTTTTTTTCTCAACGCGTGTGACATTCACGAGATCTCTCGGCACAAGGGAGAGAAGGTACAGCTGTTTTTGGTGAGCAGGTTTCCATTTGTTGTGCAAAACCACATGTGTAAAGACACGTTTTTTCTCTCAGACATTCTATTTATATTTAGTTGACTACAAGTAGCTATTTAATAGCGTTCATTATTATAATTAAGCGTAACAACCTCAATTCTCGATGCAATTTTTGAAAAAGATATTTGATAAGGTCAGAACTTAAACAATGTCAAAAACGTCGGTAGACCATTTTGCAGTTTTGGGCTTGTCCCTGTCTTCGAGTGAATGTGAGGCTGAGGTTGACCTTGTTTTGATTCAAACCTCATTTGTATTCTTATGGAAAAAATATTTGTGCATGAAAAATACTAGTTAGCATAAGATCAACATCATTTACATCGGAAGCAGGATTGGTTGTATCAAGACAAGGTCAACTTCAGCTTCGTTTCCATCTATAATTGTAAAATAGGCTATTAGTGTTATTAACTTACTGCAAGGATAGGGAAGGAATGTTAGAATAGGTACGTGTAGCTGGGGTGGAGCGAGGGCAGCGTCAATCAAAGGCTCAGTTTTTTAGTTGTGTAAATGTGATTGATAAAGCAGTCACTGCGAGAGGTTATTGTCAGAGAGAAGATATAACACCAGGGGCAGATCCTGGTTTTTTTAATGGGGGTTAGATGATTCCATTTTCAATTTTCTTGGGATCCAGGTATTTCAGTTTTGTTTTCCATGTTTTATATTTTTTTGGTGTGCTGCTCTAAAGGGGGGTGGCTAGCCACCCAATCCACTCCCCCTGGATCCACCCCTGAACACTTTCCAATTCCTATCTTCTCTCTTTTGCCCCATGCAATGATTAAGGACTGGAGACAGCTTGAGGACTACCCATACCACCCCACACTCTCCTCCGTTGGGCAAATATTGCCTCAAGCCTGACTTATCCCCAGTTGTGTCTCATTATTAGCATTAGGCGTGGAAGACTAGAACGGGCTCTTTAACGAAGGGGATGATGGAAAGAGACAACATCTCCCTTCCTCTCGCCTTCCCATCTTCACTGGGCGCATAACCCATGGGCTTCCCTGGTAACAACTTGGAGACGACTGGAGATGAGTCAGGCCTCAAGCCTCTTTCTCAAAATGAGGGTACCAGTGGAAAGCGTTTGATATGAAAGAAACTGAAAGAAACACAGTAGCTGATTGTTTATATCTCTTTATTTTCTCTTGAAAAGGACCATGCACAGAGTGTATTTTTATGGATAATTTGGATTAGTCAATTTTTGAGACGATCACATACGGTGCTTGCAGATGACATCTGAAGATGCAGGATTCTTAGTCCTGCAGAATCTAAGTCGCCCAGCAGTTAAAGGTTTTGCTGAGTTTTGCAGCAGTTCTTTAATTGCACATAGAAAGAAAGAGTTAAGTGAAGGCCTCAAAGTTTCCTGCACAAATCTACAGTACACATATCCAGTAAGAATTTCTTAAAAACTAATAAATGAATAACAATTTAGATTAAGAGGAAGCGGATGCACAAATAACCCCATCATCCTGACCACAATTTTTGCCCAATCCCATCTTTGGCATCGTGAATCTCGTGTATACTTTCAATCTCAAATCTTTGCATCTCCAGTTTGCTTTAACGTCCCAAATCCTTACTGTCACTCTCTAACCTTTTTACACCAGCCACTATTTTAAGCTATATATGAAGCTACTACATGTATCTTAGAAGAAGCAAAACTACCCAAAACTATGATAATTTGCTGCAATTAAACTCACTTTCATATTATTTTATCAAAAGGGGACAGACTATGGACGAAATGTTGCTTGCCTGCAAATAGCTAACATTTTAACCCTTCATCATTGTTCATGTATGGTTACATTCACTGCCATATGTGTGTTGCTTCCTTTAATCTGTACATATATATTCTTATAAGTGCTCCTCAGATTTTGAGGAGGTTTTTGTTGGAAGTAGTTAATATTTTACTTATAATAATTATATTGCACCTTTCTTAACAGTTAAAGTTGCTTATTGCAAGCCGCGCTTCATCAGTACCTAGCTGTCAGTGGTTGTACATCATAACATTTGGTGGTGGACTTGTTGAGGGAGACAATGTCTGTGTTGATGTCAAGGTTGGAGAGTTATCTACGGTAGTTGTTACCACACAAGCTTCAACAAAGGTATGTTACACTGTGATCAAGCTATTGTATACCACATTTCCTCGAAGAAACTAAGTACTTATTTTAAAATTCCTACTATTTTTTAAGAATTTTTGCTCATTGAAGGGGTTACTTATTCAAAGGGTGCTTAATCTATGGACAGTAAGAGGGAATGCTTGACGGGATATTTTTTATCCATTTATTATCA